AGGGGACCCTGCAGTGTATAGTATGTATAGTAAAGTATGTATAGTAAAGTATAGTATAGTAAAGTATAGTATAGTATAGTAAAGTATAGTATAGTACACCCCGTAGTCGAATTGTCTGTGATTCCCGTTAAATGCTCGGAAGTTTAGGCAGTCACCCAGTCAGGGGAGAATTGATCGAGACTTGATACACGCTGCTATGCTTAGCTCATACACACAACTTAAGCCCAAGTTGCCTCACCAGTCTCACTCTCTACCTTGCCGTTACAATGCCAGGCTTACCGTGCCATTACCGCATAGATACATTGTTGCGCTTACCTTAGGGTTACATATTAGTACCACTGACTGCACCATGACAGCTTACGTAGATGCCCATGCCAACCTCGCTATGTCAGCCAGCGTTAACTAACCTCGCTGTCACACTGGAACATTGCCTCGGCGAGCTCCGTGTCCATCGGTCCGGTGTAGATGTGTTCGACCTTACGCCGGGCGTTGGCTCTCGGCGACGGTATGTGCTGCACACACATGTCGACGAAGCCTGAAGCGTGTGCGTAGACAGAAGTGTGGGGATTAGTCTGTTTGCTTAACACTACTACTGCTGCTGCTGCTGCTGCTGCTGCTGTTACTACTGTTCCTGCTGCTGCTGCTACTGCTACTACTACTGCTGTTACTACTGCTGCTGCTGCTGCTGCTGCTGCTGCTACTGCTGTTACTGCTGCTGCTATTACTGCTGCTGCTGCTATTACTGCTGCTGCTGCTATTACTGCTGCTGCTGCTGCTGCTGCTACTACTGCTACTGCTATTACTGCTGCTGCTGCTATTACTGCTGCTACTGCTACTGCTATTACTGCTGCTGTTGCTGCTACTGCTATTACTGCTGCTACTGCTGCTGCTACTGCTGCTGCTACTACTGTTACTGCTGCTGCTGCTGCTACTACTGCTGTTACTGCTGCTGCTACTACTACTGCTGCTGCTATTACTGCTGCTGCTGCTGCTGCTGCTACTGCTGTTACTGCTGCTGCTGCTGCTACTGCTGCTACTGCTGTTACTGCTACTGCTACTGCTGCTGCTGCTGCTGCTGCTGCTGCTGCTGCTGCTACTGCTGATGCTCCTGCTGTGATTACTGGACATTCACATCGACATAAATGTCAGAACTGGCATTACTCTGCCTATATCCTCCTTGCACTAACCCAGATAGCTAGTAAAATCGTACTGCTGCCGCGACAGGCGACGTGAGAGACCCACCGGTGAATTCGCCGAAGAACTTCTGGCAGACGAGTCGCAGCAGCGGCCGTATGTTCATCTTCATCTCGTGTTTGTTCAGGTAGATGCCGAGCTCGTCCAGTACCTTGGGCAGTGTCGTGTCCACGTCACCGATCACCTGCGTCAGGGGGACGACGAAGTTGACGCATGAGTGACAATTGTTGTTAACAAGCAAAGTTGACACACCGCAGTGCAGCTGACACACGAGTGACAACAAGCAAAGTTGAAGCACCAGTGACGATGCGATAACAACATGACATTTTAAAACCACAAAAAAATACTTTTTCCCCCGAAATGCATCACCTCCGTAATGCAGGCTACCATCGTTTCCTCCACACCCCGCCCACCGAAGTCGGTTCCAAATTCGCGAGATGCCCGGCGACGAAGCCGCGCACGCCAGCTGGCGGCGCCCCCTACACAAACCTGTGCAAAGATCTTGTAGAGCGGCTCGAGGATGAACTCAACGAAGCTGCGCTGCGCCGTGCTGACGGCTGGCTTCTTACTGAAGCGTCGCGTCTTGCTGTTGAAGTAGATGTCGCCCCACAGACGCTTCGCAAACTCATACTCGTTGAGGCCACCTGGTGGAGGGACGAGAAAACACACGGCAATATATGCAACGGGTGGTTAACAACGTTTAACTGTATTAACGGATGTGTTATTACATCTAGTATAAATCTATAGTGTATATAGTCGTTTACATTATATCCTTATTAGTCATATGGATAGTAATTGACCAGTCAACCAAATACATGAATTTAATTAAATAATACAAGCCATAAAATTAATAGAATAATAATTCCAGCTATTAGGATTTCGATGGGCCAGCAAGATAAAAGCAAGCGAGAAAGCACGCAAAGGTGGCCTAGTTAACACGACTGGTGTGTCGATCTATCTATACGGTAAAACCATCTATCTGTCAGTCAACGAGCTCACCGTAGGAATCAGAGTAGATCTTCGCAAACGAGACGAGCGAGAAGCAGAAGCCGTACTGTGAGCTGCTGAAGCTGACGTTGCCTAGCAACGGAGACACAACCATCTCGTCGTTTTCGTCCGAGTACGTGCTGCAGAGGGAGAGAGAGAGAGAGAGACAATGACGTTAACGACTGCACGCTTAGCATCTGCTATCACCTAACATCGCTCGCACTGTGAGGTTACTGCATCTGTCGGTGTCTGCATGTGCAAGCATAAACATACACGCACGCACAGGTATGTACACACGCACGCACGCACGCACGCACGCATACACACATGCATGTACGTACATGTATGCACACACACACACACATGCATGTGCATGTATGCACACATACACGCACAGACGTGCACACAAAAACACGCACATACTCACGCCGCAAACATACAAATCAACTACCTGAGCAGCGCGTTGATCTCATCGACGATGTGTCTGAGTTTGTAGTAGGCGTCTGTCGGCGGCAGCTTCAGCTCACAGATGAGTCGGTCGATCTTGTTGATGCAGACAGTGATAGCCAGCCTCTCCTGAACCGCGTGCTTCACAAGGCGCTCTGTGTTCAGCATCACCTATGCGACAGTAGATTGTGTACTGACTGGTATATGCAGAGGGCACCTTACATGCAAGGTCTTCTTCCTGTTTCTTACGTGAGGTCTATTAATGGAATGTTATAATATAAATCTATGTAAAACCAGGGGCGGAATTGTCAAACCATAAGGTTATGATAACAGATACGAACACAATAAAACTTGAGGTTAGTACAGATGAATCACATCCACCATTGTGAATTTAGGACAATATAGGAAAATAGTAAAACTTGGAATGCAAAATTACAATGATGTTTGTAGATGTACTTTACAGGTAGAATACAAGAATAGCATTGTTCAGAAACATATCCTTGAATGCACTAAAGTTATACCAAAACATAGTGATGACTGCAAGGTCTCAGGTTTGGTGAGAGATGTTTGCATCTCTGCTACCAATGTATTTTTGAAAAGTTTTTTTTGGCATAGATTTTTATCATCATTAGTTCACAAGTTTACGAGTGACTCTGCCAGTGTCAAGGCTTCTTGTCAGCACCTAGTATCTCGCTCATCCTCATCGCTGCCACGGTAGCCGCAGGAGGACAGCAGACAACTTACCCCCTCGGCTGCATCCACAAATATGACGACACCGTCGCAGAGCCTAAAGGCTGCTGTCGCTTCATCGCTGAAATTCACATGCCCTGTAGAGCAAAGAGAGAACACTGCAGCACTGCAGGCAAAACACGCTAAGAAATGCACAAACAAACAATTATGTAGATGGGACGACAGGCAAGTCCCCTGCCAAACTCAGACAGAATGATGACCCCAGAAAGACGCACCCATACTATGACCAGCAGAGAGAAGCAATCATACTATATAACCAGTATATAGAAGCACTCATACTACAGCCAGCAAAGAGAAGCAGCCATGCCGTAATAGGGGGAAGCAGCCCTACCTCATCCAGAAGAATCCTACTCCACCTTCCTAAGATTAGTAGCCTGCCCTACTAAAAATAAGTATTGTTGTCCCACCACACATACCTGGCGTATCAAAGACGTTTAGCAGGAACGACTTTCCCCGCACGTCGTTCATCACCATGGTAACCGGCGTGCTCTTGATGCTAAGTCCGCGCTGCAACATGCGAGGAGAAAGACACAATCACGGCTGAGAATAACCAAGACTGCAACGAACGTTGACACTTAAAATGTGGCCTGTTGCCTCTCCAGTCAAAGAGCTGAAACTACTACAAGTTACAGCAAGGCATCTTGGCTCACGATAGTGGCCACAGTGGGGACCAGCACATACAGCGTTACACATACTGTTATCTTACATGGGGTTGAGTTGGTTACACTACAGTGACTCAATAACCTTATCAACATACCTCTTGTTCTGTGAACAACGTGTCGGTGTATCGGATCTGAAAGAAACAATATTGTATCGATAGAAACACACAAGTATATGCTGGTAGATTTTTTCACCAGTTTCATGAACTCTTGTTTACACGACTCAAAGTGAACAGACTTTGTTAAGAGAACCAAGATTAGTTAATAATCTTTATGTTGGCTAATACTCACGTCTTTTGCTTCCCGTTTGACGACGTCTGGATGAGTTTGCTCCATTAAACAGTCAACGAATGACGTCTGTGGGAAAATAAGCATTGAAAAACCGTCAAAGCTCTCTAAATCAAGAGCGGCACCAGCAGAGCAACAACAACAACTCTTCTGCATGAGTTAAACTGATGGTACAATACACTACGATCCAACAACTGGTGCTAAATTTCTATACATTAGCGTTGCTTTCACAAACATGTCTCGCCGGCCTACCTTGCCATGGTGGAGGTGACCAGCTAGAGCAACGTTCCTCACTAGGTCCGAGCAATCCATCAGGTCAGCGAGAAACCTGTGGCACGCAAACACACACAAGTATTAAAGCACATCGATTGTACCTGTGGTACGCAAACACACACAAGTATTAAAGCACATCGATTGTACCTGTGACATGCACACACACAAGTATTGAAGCACATCGACCATACCTGTGACAACGACGTGGATGTTACCTGAAAGCTTCGCTGCTTACAGGTGAGGTTCATTAACATATAAATAATGATAAACACGCGTAACTGGAGTGCGGTGCACGACGGTAATGAAACTACACGTGCATCAAATCAAAAGACGTGCAAAAAATGAAATTCTGCTTATAATCTGCTCGGAGTCCGTGGTTTCTATGGCGACTCACTCCATCTGGTACTCGGTCTCCGGAAGCTGCTGCTCGACGAGTGCAAACTTCTTCTTCTTAACCGGTGCGATGATCGGTTCTGTGAGAGGCTGAGCATCTTCCTCTTGCACCACCGTCTGGAACGCACATTCTCGTATTTACATAGTCGTTACGCATTGCTGGACAGATGGCACCACAACATTGCAAGTAGATATCGATTCTGATATAAGCACATGGGCTGTAATTATGACTAATTGCTAAGCGCATTAAGGTCTGACCATATTCAAGTTCCCAAATTTACAACTCCTCACTTTTCTACTCAAAAGCATCTAAACTGTGAGCATTGCTCACGGACTACTGTACTAGAGAATATAGAAGTGTGCACGGCTGCGACATAGCAAGCATGTATACATGTTAGTATACGAACCTCGACTTCTGGACCATACACTTCCTCGGCTGTTGAATAATACTTCTTGTCTTCATGAAGGACAACTTGATTTTGTGGAATCTCATCATCTTCTGCATCCATTTCGGCGTCATCATCCTGAAATTTTTGTGTGTGGGCAGGCGCGATTGATTGCCACAAAATAGTTTAGCATGTGAATTCTCGTACAATCTCTCTGCACCATCCTGCACGCACTTTATAATAATCGTTTAGTGTTGATGTGCGAGGTTTGCAAAGCAATTTGTACGGAAAGCTTCAGGTTTATTGACATGTACAATGTCGTATGAATTTCGTCTACAAGAACTCAATTCAAATAAGTGTGTTTGCCATACACTTTGTGTATTTATCCTTGGTAGTATCTAGATGCATATTTTTATGTACATGTATTGTAATGTATACACATTGATAATTACTTTTTTTAAACAAATAAAAATCTATTTCAAGTAGTCACAAGTGACATGTGGAACAATCATACTTCCGTGCATTCTTACTCTACTAGCATATATCCTTACATAGATCTACACTAAATACTAATTTGCTTCAATACAGACAGTTATTGAAACAAAATGCGCCACTCCTAGTGGCTAGTGCATTCACCTGATGATCACTGTATTTAACTGTGCATCGTGATTCTACCTGGATTTCTCATTCTCACCTCTTTGTCATCTATTTCCATTCCGCCACCTCTACCCACATCTTCGTCTTCGTCTTCCTCATCGCTCTCTAGCTCCGGCCCGATGTAGTTACCAAACTCATCATAAAGATCTTGATCCATGTTTGCAGATCGCAGCGAGTGGCGTCTTTGCTCAAGGTTAATCACCCTATGAATATAATATTAATACTAATACTCAAGGTATGGTATGTATCGTTACTTTCTATGCACTATTTCTCTGGTGTACATAGGTTACTATTGCAAATTTAGATATAGGTTGAAATCATTCAGTTACGTATGATTGTCTCAGTCTGCGTCTGGCAACAACTGAACTGAACGTCGACGATAGGCCCTACCGGCCTACGTCATTATTGACTATCATTAGTGATTACTAGTACTACCCGTAGGGCCGTACCAACACTACTCACTACTCACTACTCACTAGTACTATTAGTCATTACCACTATTATTAAGTAAGTATAGAGCTAAATCAACCCCTTATACGAAATAATATCATGTATAACAACATAAAATACCTACAAGCATCGACCACCCTCCTCAAAACACTGAGAAACTTAGAAAATGTATAATTTAGCAGACTTTGTTTTCACTTGAGAGTGTACAAATCGGCGTGCATGGCGCTTCAGTTCGTAATGTTCATTTGTTTATAGAGGGCATTCGCGACAGCATGTCGGAAAATCAACCGGTCGAAGAAAAATCTAGGTGCGTTGGGTGGAATTTTATGCTAACTAACTCATAGAATTCTTAAATATAGAGCGGAATCTCGTGGCCATCCATATTGCTATATTTTGTAGGAATATAAGTAGAGTTCTCTGGCTGGTTCCGATATGTGTTTGTCCTGCTACCAAGCGTGACAACTACGTTTTTGTCAACAACAACCAAGCATGTGGAGTAGAGCCTACTTCACTACTTGTCGTCTGCTGTAGCCTGTACTCTGTACTGTAGTACTAGTACTACTAGTAGGCTACTGACTACTGTGTGTTGCGGACCGAGAAGCTAAAACTGCGACATCGAGATAACCTCATAATCTTGTAGTAATACTCTTTAAAGTTCTGTATACTGTAAACTATTACGAAAATAAGAATAGTCAACACGAAAATTTTACGCTGTGGCTATATCATAATAATTAATATATCATATATACCCGGCAGCCGGGCACGGTCTTCGATTTCCTAAATGCCTGGCAGTTCCTAGCCCTAACCCTAACCCTTGTTTACTTGAGATAACGCTGAAAATTAAAAACTGCCGGGCATTTAGGAAATCGAAGACCGTTCCCGGCAGCCGTCAGATATATGCTGGCTGCCGGGCATACTATAGCCACTCTGAAAATTTTATGCTATCTAAGTTAGTAAGTAGGCTACCTAAGTAAGAAGCCATGCGGCATGCGTTGTCTTTGAAGGATCCCGTCCATTGGCATTGAAGTTGATCTTTTTATGGTTTTGTGATTCCATATGGAATTCTCTTCCTTCTTTTCTAGTTATTTGTAAAATTTAAACATAACTGCAAACTGTAGTGTTGGTTCATCAGTTTGATCAACCTTGACTCCTTCGTTACACACTACCATTCGTGCCACATGTTCAACCCTAAACCCACTGTCACGAAAAGATAACTCAATATTTCACACTGAACGTAATGGAAGCAGATAGATGATAGTGCAGAAGTTCATACTGCAGAAAAACGATGTTTGCAGATCGCTGAGGCAAAGAGTAGCATCGAGATGATGAACTCTACAATCGATCAAGATGGTAACGAGAATGAAGATGGTGCTGGTGACGAAGTTGCTGACTGTTCGCAGCCGTCGAGTGCAGATTCGCAAGTCAAGATGGAGAAATGCCTATTTGGCAAGGAGTTACTCACCATACCTCAAGAACTTGCAGAGAACGTAAGCTCAAACTAAAAACAGGTCCTTATAGCATCATACGAGTGGTATCAAGCATTAATATGCACAGATAACAAAATGTGTACCCTATTCTCATTTTCACGTTTCTTTGACTAATAAAACTTGAACAACTGCTAGTGTTTAGTATTCCAGATTGGCTGTGCACAGCATATGTTGTCATGGTTGTGATTTCTCATTGCCAAATACATCATTCAGTATTGCTTATTGTAATCTCTAGTATGCTTCTTCTTAGTTCCTTCTATTCTAATGGAGAATAGGGCTGGAATAATCACTAGTATGCTTACATGTTGTTTCTTCTCGTCCAGGCATCCATGTTGTTCGACGTACTCAGCCTCAACACATGGGAGAACAGTCTTACAGATGGTAACAGACAACACCTCATGGTGAGTATCTATAAGATTAGAAAGTGTTCCTTTACTGTGCCTCGTTCATGATGCCATTGCCATCACGCAACGTCAGTATGATCTCACCGAGTATTATCCATCTTTTGTAGAAATTTTTACCAGATTTCCAAGAAAATGACGAGGAGGAAAAGAAGGATACTGTCAGGTGTGCTTTTTAAGTTATTTTGTCTTAGGGAGTTGATGTGTATAAATGTGTTGTTGTTAGCTAAACAGTAGGTCTTGATTACGTGTTAGGTGTTGTCATTGTATAGTAGGCTAAGAGTGAAATTAGTTTAATCTAATGTACTGTTCCATTTACAGGCGTTTATTTTGTCTCGACGAATTCAAGTTTTCTTCACCACTGCGAACCTTTCAAGAAACATTGAAAAGTAAGTATTTGGAGAGGATTTGTCTATCTGTGTTAATCTCCTTGTCTCTCCCCGTCTCTCCTCGTCCCTCCCTCCTCTCTCTCTCTCTCTCTCTCTCTCTCTCTCTCTTGTTCTTCTTTTGTATTTTCTGTCTCTCTTCTGTCACCCTATCTTTATATATCTTTAATACACTGCATTGTGTGCTTCATTCTCCATCTTCCTCATTCTACTTTTTTATCCTGTCATCTGTATCAGCGATGTGATATGATCTACAAACTCTTAGTCATGTTTCTCACAGCAATCATTAGCCTAGTCCTGTCCTTAATTGACAGCCAGTATCGTAAACCGATTTTCTCTAATGGAACTTGTGTATTCGTAGATGGCTTCTTTTCTCCGAAAGTCGCCAAGTACATGCAGCTATGCAGGAAGGTGAAGATGCGTGACTATAGATACCAGCAGCAGCGATACTATTCCAATCTCCTGAAAGATATGCTCATTTCACGACAGGTATGACACTCCCAAATTAATATAATGTTAGATTAGCACATTATTATATTATATATTATATTATATTATATTATATTATATTAAAATATATTATATTATATTATATTATATTATATTATATTATATTATATATTATGAGAGCTTTAAACAGCGTTTTATTGCTTACGCATACTTCTCTCTTTAATACGAGGAGCTTTCAGAACGATGGCATTTAGCAAACATTGCCATGGAAACATCTCTAGGCTTCGTGATTTACGTGCGTCCGCCCATCCCTAAGTAAGCCCTCTACTTGGGGATGCGGTGACCATTCGCCATCGCCACGGTTACTGCATTGTTGTCTATTACAGGTTTACCTGGAAGCTGCGTATCGGACTCCGCCGGACATGCCGGTCGTCGTGGAGAGAGCGTATCGGCCGCCACCGCGGGAGCTGAGCATAGAGTACCGCACCAACGTCCAGTATCTCAAGTACGGGTTGTCTTCAACACTAGCAGTAGTAGTCCTCGACACTGGAGGAGGTAGAGCATGGATGTAGTGCGTGTACGAGATTCGCGAGAGAGATTATTATTTTCATAGACCCATTGTCAAAAACTCTCCATCTTCTGACTAGCATAAAGGCTGGGATTAATGCTAACGTGAAGTTCGATCGATCTTTTTTGTCTGGGGAGTCGTACCGGGAACATCAACCTGGCATGATGGTGTGTGATGTGGTGTGCAGTCTGTCATTGATTTGAATTGCAACTAGCATGTAGCTGAGCATCGAGCGCCGTGTGCTGTCGCGTGCCGTGTTCACATAACTTCTCATGGCTTTTCTTCGTGGCTTCTTTTTATGGCTTCGTCTCCTAACAGGGTGCTGAGGGAAGTGCGTGACGAATGTGGCGACGATGAGACGGACTCGGACGACGAGGGAATACCAGGTAACCATTCTGGTTTCTCCGCGGACAACTGCCACAACGAAACCGACTAGTGAAGTCAATACAAACCATATATTTCTACCACAACCATATCCTTCCACCTCCATACATACTTATATCGCTTTGTTCTGTGGGTACAGTTGCCGTGGTGATACTCAAACCGGCTCTCGTCTTTGATGTGTTTTGTTTTTGTCCTGTGGTGGCACCTGCTGGTTGAATGTAACGAGCGTTGCTGTTCGCTTGTTTAGGCTACTCTGTGCCGCGCAGCAAGCCGCGGAGTCGTATCGACCAGGACGCGACGGCAGAATGCACGGTGTCTTCCACGATGGCGTCGCGGGGTTCAAAATCTGTCGGTATGTACAATCACCAGAGGGCGCCAACACGAGAACAAGAACTAATTACAGAGGATGTGAGATTACAGAGGAGTTACTGATTCGATGTGCTTGCGCGGCAGGGCACCTGGTTGCGATTGCGGTTACGCGAGTATATTCGTAATTGTCGGTCGTAGTGGTGCGGGTTAAAGGTGGTTTTACTCAATATTATCGTTTTGGAAGTACTAGGCTTATCAGTTTCAATATCAGTACTAGGAGTAAAAGTATGAGGAGAGGTAAGATGTGAGCGACAGGGCCACGTGGTGAGCAACCCCAGGCTGCAGACTGCGTTAATAACACAGACTACGTACCAGCCACACGTATGTGGCTGAATACACTGTGCGCTGGCTTCTAATGAAAACCCTGCAGTTGTAGTTCAGGGTTGTCCATCTCCAGAGCTTTGGTAGAGTCACTAGCACCTCCTGTCATTGCCCATCCAACTGCAGAGCCTGAGTCATTGTTGCCTGCTGGTTTTGACCGTATGCTTTGTAGCAAGAAGGTGAATTGCAGCAGAAGCAGATTCTAGCACAGCAGAAGGTGTTTGCGCATGTGGTGCGGTTGCATTGCATTCAGTCAGACTTGCGTCAACGTTGTTCTCTGTGCTTCAATGTTGTTCTCCATGCTTCAACGTTGTTCTCT